GATTGCCTCTTATGTTGGGAACCAGCACCAAGACTGGGACAGGTGGCTGCCTGAGTTTCGGTTGGCTCTTAACACTGCGGTACATGAGACCACCGGCGTGACACCTGCCATGCTGACTCTGGGTCGAGAGCTCCTGGGGCCACTTGAGAGACTTGTTCACAGAGCTCCTGCTCCCCATACACCCGCATACCAGACTCTTCAGACACACACTCAGTTAAGGGAGGAGGTTGCGAGACACGTTGGCGCGTCCAAAGCCAGACAAGCCAGATACTATAATGCACGACGCAGGGATGTACACTTTGCTGTCGGTAGTCTGGTCTGGGTTAGGTCGCATCCGTTGTCCAAAGCTTCTGCGAGATTCTCTGCCAAACTTGCACCCAAGTGGTTAGGGCCGGCTAGGGTAGAGAAAAGCTTAGGACCTGTAAATTACCAAATTTGTTGGTTGTCCGATAAGAAGAAGAAGTGTGCAGAGGGATCAAACGAGACTCTGTGGATTATCTCTCCATGGTTGCTGGTGGGCTCCAGGACCCGTTTTTGTGAACCTTGGTGCATGCGCGGGGCCGTGAGTACACCGTGGCTTCACCACTGACACTGACTCTTTCTTTTTGTTTCCACATATCGAGTTCTTAGTGGCTGTTTGTGATCATATTATGTTTTGTTGTGTGGGGTCGCGCTCGAGCGTGGGGGTGTTGGCGCAGTGTGAGTTGACTGGGATCAGTAATAAATAGCCAGTCTTGTGCCAAATGCATGTTCTGTATCTGTGCTTATTTCACCCCGCTGATGTGACATCTCCTCTCGCGACGCTTTTAAAGCGTTGTAGCTCTGGTGTCTTGAAAAGTTATGCTAATTGTTACATACACTTTTGGATTTATGGTAGCAGGGGTTCTCCTGATTGGGTTTGGAGTTGGCCTGATCTACTGCAACGTTGGAGGAATGTCTACTAGCGCAGATATTTAGTATGCAGCCAGCCTTGATGTTTTTTCAACAAACTGAATTTCATCTCTCATCTCTCACCCAGCCGGCCCGGGTTCAACTCTCGGTATGGGAAGACCTTTTAGCACAAAAGTCCTTTCATTGCATCAAACCATGCAACAAAAGGAGCTAGCTACATGGTTGCTGCCCTTGAGAGAACGTCCCTGGGTGGACTCGAACCACCAACCTATCGGTTAACAGCCGGGCGCGCTGGCCGACTGCGCCACAGAGACCTTCCGCCGGGAATTAGCCGGGGCTTAGCTCAGTGGTAGAGAATTTAACTGCAGATCAAGAGGTCTCTGGTTCAACTCCAGATGCCCCCAAATGCAGATTGAGTGACGCATCAACACTTATGCCTGGAAATACAGCCGCAGCAGTTCGGTTAGCTTCAAGCTACATCGTGTCTTTGGTGTGACCACCTTCGGTAGCTCAGTTGGTAGAGCGGAGGACTGTAGAATATACACTGGTTGGTTCACACGCTAGTTCAAATCCGGCTCGAAGGACACTGCCTTTTGCGCAGGGGGACTGGTTGATACGTTGTTTGTTGGGAGCGAGCTCTCTATGAGGGAAGATCTGATAAAAGCGAGGTCTTGGACCCATGGGAGTCAGAGCAAATTTTCCAGCCAAGGACAAGACAAGAGCGTCAGAAGTGGGATTTGAACCCAGGGGACACTGCGATCTGAATGCAGCGCCTCAGGTCGCTTAAGCTGCTATGAAACTGTGCCTCCAAACCATCCAACTCTGTGCGTTGTGGTCATGCCAGTTATGTCCAGATTTTGCATTCTTTACTGTGGCCAAACCCAGGCAGTTATTTTTTGGGGTCCCTGTGTGCAGGGTCAAAATCCTGCAAACACCAAATAATTACTAACTCTTACCGCGAGCAGTAGGCCAGTAGAAGAAAGTCTCCTTCATTGAACTCAAAGACACACACCCACAACCTTTTTGGCAGTGGTGGGATTTGAACCCACGCCTCCGAGGAGACTGGAGCCTTAATCCAGTGTGGAATCAGCTTCCCATTCATGTTAAGGAAGCAGATACGGTTTAAAACACTCTACTTTAATTTAGCATATGGTTAGGCTGTTTGTCTGGTTTGGTTTACACACTTGGGCCCTCATTTATGAAAATTGCGCAGAAAAGGGTGTACATTTTGGGTGTACATTCCAGATACGCAAGATACGACGTGGCATTTATGAACACGTGAGATCCGCACAGATCCGCACAGATTCGAGCTTACGCACCTGCGGCTGTTAAGAGGCTAAGAAGCCTCAAAGCTCAAAAAGCACGCACTTCTGAGATTATTCACGTTTAAAAAAATATATATATACTCTATATTATATATACACTTTTTTCCCTAGTGTCTAGACCCACTACAGCACTCCTCTCTCCTGAAATTTTGACGTAAATAAATAAATAATAAATGACTGAATGAATGAATGAACTATACTGTTGGTGCACGTCGCATCCTACCTCTGCCATATATGGAGTACAGGGCAGTGGCTGAGACAGTTTGGAGCAAGATCAGGTGCATTTATGGGGCTTTATGCACAAAACTAAGGAAAACCCACATTGCTTTGCCAGAGGTGAATGAGGCAAAACATATGCGTAATTACGTGAACGCCGCAGGGTCTGCCACACGACCGCTCATGGCACCGGCTCTGCATGCATTCCCAAGAGTGCGCAGCGGGTGTGGAGTGAGCAATACCATAGTCCATCGATCCATGCGTTAATGGGGTGTGTGTCTGTATGAGGCTTACACAAATCTAATGAAAACATACATTGCTTTACCAGATGTGAATACAAATAGCCATGCGTATACGCAGCGCAGAGCCTGCCACAGCAATAGCTGGGTCACACATCCCTGTCGCGTAAAGTGTATTTGTATAGAGCCTTTCACAATCCAGGATCACAAAGCGCTTCACATTTTAAAAACATACAGATCAAAATAATACACACAGAAGTCAGATTTAAAATCATAGAAACAGAAGAGGCTCCTCATCATGATCTGTGATTTATTCAAAGTTTGCGTGTTTCCAGAGTGTTAGACTTGCTAACATGATGCTCCATGAAAACGCAGTTTATAATTTTGCCAGAGTGGAACATGTTTATTGTTGTCCAAATCTTGAATTTCATGCGTGTTTTGGCGTGTTGTGACGAAGGTTGAAATGAGCGTACACATTTACACCACCTCCAGACTTGGTGTAAATTCTGTGCGTACTGTACGCTCACGTCCGGATTGATAAAAGCGGAAAAGTGTACATTTTGGAACAGATGACTATGGCCAGGCTAAAGCAGGACCTAAAGTAGGACTAAAGCAAGTCTAAAGTAGGTCTGTGGGCATGAAAAGTGTCAAACTCCGCCTTTTTGTCTGAAAAAGCACATAGGAGCTTTTTGCATATTTTTTTAGTATCACTCTTATTTTGAGTGAAAACAATTTTCAATGCAGCTTAGGTAGAAGTTGTAAAAGAGTAATGGATAAAATATATGGTGTACACTATACTGAAGTTGGAGGTAAAGCTGTGTGCTTAGAGGTTCAGACCCCTTGTTTAAGGAGTTCATTGTGAGTCTGCCCCAGACGAAGCAGAGAAATACAGAAACCTGAATGATGGTGGAGTGGCACGGACATCAAGTGCAGTAGCTCCGCTGCATCCATGAATGCAGATACAGTATGTTTTGATATTACACACAATCGCTAAAAGCCCCCTTCGCAGCGGGAGAGTTCAGTGATGTTTAGTGACAGTGAAATAGGATAGGTTTGAAACACAAAGACAATATTGTAGTTTCCTTATGGCACATTATATATAGTATTACAACTTATATTATGTATATTTCAGTTAAAATTTTGACCCGCCCCTCCACAACATTTTGTCTTTCTAATGCAGCCCCCTGCACTTGTATGTTTAGTTCTTTAAGCAGTGCATATTAATCAGACCGAAAGAAAAGGCTTGTACCATTCCAAATCTGGAGCCGCAGTCACTTCCTCGCTCTGCTATGATACACAACATTTAATTCCATAACATAATCAAATAAAATAAAAACATCTGTAGGCCCCCTGGCTGAAACAGGTGACCTGCTTCGAATGTGTAAAGAAAAATGAAGTAAAAAGATAACCCTGAGAAAAACACAGTAAATTAGGCCCAACTAGGCACCAGGCTAATCTTCCAAACTGTTGTGGCCCTCAGGGGCAAAAATTTACCCATGTCTGTTCTATATGAATAATAATAACTTGCTTACACTAATTAAAATTCATACATATTGATAAAAAAACCTGGGTAATAAAGATTCTGCAGGTCGTAGTGACCACAGATGAGCATCGACCAAAACCTCTCCAAAAGAACAAACCCATCCATTAACCTTCATTCAAAGGCATTTCCACAAAACCTTTTTGTCTCGAAAGTCAACAAAAAGCATTACTACAGTCAGTCAGAGAGATATGTGAAGAACGCACATATCTCAAAAGAACGTTTGAACTGACGGCTTCATCATCCAAATATTTGTGTCTCTTCCATTTTGTTTGGCTGAAACACTTATGAAAGATTGATCTACAAAAAACAGTGAGAAATAATAACAATTCATGCCAAAATGTTGCAAAAACAAGAGCACTTCCAACATTTAAATTTGGGTGAAATGTTTCATGGTGAAACACTTGAATGCTCATAAGTAAGAAGTTCTCTTTCATGTCTCTGTCTGAAAAAGCCTGGATACCGGATCTATGGCCTCGGTCCTGGATCTACGGCCTCAGACCCGGACGGCCCCAATCTGGTTACACTGGTTTTTAGCTTTGTTTATGTGGAATCTATTTTTTTAAAATCCATATTTGTGATCCATCTCATGGATGTTGAAATCCAGGTTATTCCAACTTCTGTACTTTAACATTGTTCTATTTATGTACTTGACTTGTACACACTGGAGACTTTTGCAATAAGTATTCCAATATGGTTTTACTGCAAATGGCAAATAGTAAATCTGAATCCGGATAAGTCCCTCACTGTGAGGTGATGGGGTAATGACAGGAGCTGTGGTGTTTTCACCTTCAGGGCCGCGGTGAAAAGAGTGTACTCAGACTCCCAGTCCCAGTTCCGTTGGAAAGTCTTGACTGCGTGCGTCGTGAGCAGGAGTGCCATCAGCACCCATGAGAACCTCTTCAGGATCCTGCAATCACACCAGATTCAAACATTTTAGCAGACTATAATGAGGACAGTATTCCAGCTTGTGCATGTTGTGAATATTTAATGGTTTGTTTTATTCCCATTTCTTGTGAACTGAACTGAACTGAACTGAAAGATCTAAAACTTGTGCGTAACATTCCTGATATGAGCATGGGTGAAGCTAATCATTTCTCTCTAAAAGCTTTGGTGCATAAGTTTGAGATCACACCACAACAAAACTCTGTCATAAAACCCTTGTCACTAGTTGCTGGTTCTATAACAGCTGCATTTTTTGGCTGTGTTAGCTTTTTCAAACAGAAAAATCACTCTCTCGGCCCAAAGAGTCAAGTAGTAACTCGACTGTTTGCTAAAGAGACCAGACTGACTACAGTGCAAAAGTATTCGGCCCCCTTGAACCTTTCAACATTTTGCCACATTTCAGGCTTCAAACACAAAGATATAACATTTTAATTTTTTGTCATGAATCAACAACAAGTGGGACACAATCGTGAAGTGGAACGAAATGTATTGGATAATTTAAATCTTTTTTACAAATAAAAAACTGAAAAGTGGGGTGTGCAATATTATTCGGCCCCTTTACTTTCAGTGCAGCAAACTCAGTCCAGAAGTTCAGTGAGGATCTTTGAATGATCCAATGTTGTCCTAAATGACTGATGATGATAAATAGAATGCACCTGTGTGTAATCAAGTCTCCGTATAAATGCACCTGCTCTTTGATAGTCTCAGGGTTCTGTTTAAAGCGCAGAGAGAACCATGAAGACAAAGGAACACACCAGGCAGGTCCGAGATACTGTTGTGGAGAAGTTTAAAGCTGGATTTGGATACAAAAAGATTTCCCAAGCTTTAAACATCTCAAGGAGCACTGTGCAAGCCATTATATTGAAATGGAAGGAGTATCAGACCACTGCAAATCTACCAAGACCCGGCCGTCCCTCCAAACCTTCATCTCAAACAAGGAGAAGACTGATCAGAGATGCAGCCAAGAGGCCCATGATCACTCTGGATGAACTGCAGATAACTACAGCTGAGGTGGGAGGGTCTTTCCATAGGACAACAATCAGTCTGCACTGCACAAATCTGGCCTTTATGGAAGAGTGGCAAGAAGAAAGCCATTTCTCAAAGATATCCATAAAAAGTCTCGTTTAAAGTTTGCCACAAGCCACCTGGGAAACACACCAAACATGTGGAAGAAGGTGCTCTGGTCAGATGAAACCAAAATCGAACCTTTTGGCCACAGTGCAAAACGATATGTTTGGCGTAAAGCAACACAGCTCATCACCCTGAACACACCATCCCCACTGTCAAACATGGTGGTGGCAGCATCATGCTTTGGGCCTGCTTTTCTTTAGCAGGGACAGGGAAGATGGCTAAAATTGATGGGAAGATGGATGGAGCCAAATACAGGACCATTCTGGAAGAAAACCTGTTGGAGTCTGCAAAAGACCTGAGACTGGGACGGAGATTTATCTTCCAACAGGACAATGATTCAAAACATGAAGCCAAATCTACAATGGAATGGTTCACAAATAGACGTATCCAGGTGTTAGAATGCCCAAGTCAAAGTCCAGACCTGAATCCAATCGAGAATCTGTGGAAAGAGCTGAAGACTGCTGTTCACAAACGCTCTCCATCCAACCTCACTGAGCTCGAGCTGTTTTGCAAGGAAGAATGGGCAAGAATTCCAGTCTCTCGATGTGCAAAACTGATAGAGACATACCCCAAGAGACTTGCAGCTGTAATTGCAGCAAAAGGTGGCGCTACAAAGTATTAGCGCAAGGGGGCCGAATAATATTGCATGCCCCACTTTTCAGTTTTGTATTTGTTAAAAAAGTTTAAATTATCCAATACATTTCGTTCCACTTCACGATTGTGTCCCACTTGTTGTTGATTCTTGACAAAAAATTTAATTTTTATATCTTTATGGTTGAAGCCTGAAATGTGGCAAAATGATGAAAAGTTCAAGGGGGGCGAATACTTTTGCTCTGTACCAGAGATACTTGTTCCAATCATTCAGCCAATCACTTCTCAGCCCAAAGAGTCAAATAACGACTAAAAGATGTAGACGGTTCCCTGAACGACGTGTTTTTTTTCCCCTCTTACACAACTCTTTCTTAAGCTGTGATATAAGGATGATCTGACAATTTGGCAGTTTGACTGAAAATAAACGGAAAAGAAAAATCCATGGCTTGTGAAGGACTAGTCTCTTACCCTTTGCGTGAGAGGACCTTGAAGCCGTGAGCGATCAGGACACAGAAACCCATACTGGGGACATACAGGACCCTCTCTGCCACCACAAACCCCACCGGGAAGAAGAGGTTTGATGCTGGGACGAAGGGAAGCACCATGAAGGACAGGGCCTGTAGGGGGCAGAGCAGAGAACACATTAGTTTGATGTGAGTTTGATGTGGGTGATATGGAGATGTTGAGTCCAAACAATTTTACTTGGTGGGCTGAAATTAAGATGGTGTGATAGTACAGTCATATACAGCTGCGCTGATTCAGGCACATTCAAGGAGGTGTCTGTTTTGATTCCTCCTCCTCTCATTCACTGCTAAGCGCCTCCTGGAGGTGGCCTTCTCCAGCTCGGTACCGCATCATCAAATTGAACCAAAGCGTTTTGCTTCCTTGAGGGAATCATCAATAGAAAAAACGAAATTGGGCATGCCATAGGGAAAGCCAAAAAACACTTTAATGATAAGGATATCCTTTAATTCTTTCCACAGTGGGGAAATGTCAATGTTGCAGCTCACATACAGGATAGTAGTAAGAGCGAACTCGTAATGATGTTTAAAGCATAGAAAATTCCATCCATCCATCCATTTTCTTCCGCTTTATCCGTTGCCGGGTCGCGGGGGCAGCAGTCTAAGCAGAGACGCCCAGATTTCCCTATCCACACACACCTCCTCCAGCTCGTCCAGGGGGACCCCAAGGCGTTCCCAGGCCAGCTGAGAGACATAGTCTCTCCAGCGTGTCCTGGGTCTTCCCCGGGGCCTCCTCCCGGTGGGACGTGCCCGGAACACCTCCCCAGGGAGGCGTCCAGGAGGCATCCTGAACAGATGCCCGAGCCACCTCAACTGGTTCCTCTCGACGTGGAGAAGCAGCGGCTCTACTCCGAGCTCCTCCCGTGTGACTGAGCTCCTCACCCTATCTCTAAGGGAGCGCCCAACCACTCTGCGGAGGAAGCTCATTTCGACCGTTTGTATCCGCGATCTCGTTCTTTCGGTCATTACCCACAGCTCATGACCATAGGTGAGGGAGGGAACGAAGATTGACCGGTAAATTGAGAGCTTTGCCTTTCGGCTCAGCTCAGCTCCCTCTTTACCACAACGGTCCGATACAGAGACCGCATCACTGCGCACGCTGCACCGATCCGCCTGTCAATCTCACGCTCCATCCTCCCCTCACTCGTGAACAAGACCCCGAGATACTTGAACTCCTCCACTTGAGGAAGGACCTCTCCACCCACCTGAAGAGGGCAAGGCACCTTTTTCCGGTCGAGCACCATGGCCTCGGATTTGGAGGTGCTGATTCTCATCCCAGCCGCTTCACACTCGGCTGCAAACCGTCCCAGTGCATGTTGCAGGTCCTGGTTCGTTGGAGCCAGCAGGACGACATCATCCGCAAAAAGTAGAGATGAAATCCTGTGGTTCCCGAACCGGACCCCCTCCGGCCGCTGGCTGCGCCTAGAGATTCTGTCCATAAATACAGTGAACAGAACCGGTGACAAAGGGCAGCCTTGGCGGAGGCCAACATGCACCGGGAACAGGTCTGACTTACTGCCGGCAATGCGGACACAGCTCTGGCTCCGGTCATACAGGGACCGAACAGCCCTCAGCAGAGGACCCCGGACCCCGTACTCCCGGAGGACCCCCCAAAGGACACCCCGGGGAACACGGTCGAACGCCTTCTCCAAATCCACAAAGCACATGTGGACAGGTTGGGCGAACTCCCATGAACCCTCGAGTATCCGATGGAGAGTATAGAGCTGGTCCAGTGTTCCGCGACCGGGACGAAAACCACACTGCTCCTCCTGAATCCGAGATTCGACCATCGGACGTAGCCTCCTCTCCAGTACCTTGGAGTAGACCTTACCGGGGAGGCTGAGGAGTGTGATCCCACGATAATTGGAACACACCCTCCGGTCCCCCTTCTTGTAGAGAGGGACCACCACCCCGGTCTGCCACCCCATTGGCACCGCCCCCGATCACCACGCGATGTTGCAGAGACGTGTCAGCCAAGACAGTCCTACAACATCCAGAGACTTTAGATAGTCAGGACGGATCTCATCCACTCCCGGCGCCTTGCCACCATGGAGGCTGCCAACCACCTTGGTGACCTCGGCCAGGGAGATGGAAGTATCCGCCCCAACATCCTCAGCCTCTGCCTCCTGGACGTAGGACGTGACGGGGGGATTGAGGAGAACCTCGAAGTATTCCTTCCACCGCCCGACAATATCCCCAGTCGAGGTCAGCAGCCCTCCACCCGCACCATACACGGTGTTGGCAAAGAACTGCTTCCCCCTCCTGAGGCGCCGGACGGTTTGCCAGAACCTCTTCGAGGCCGACCGATAGTCATGCTCCATGGACTCTCCGAACTCCTCCCAGTCCCGGGTTTTTGCCTCTGCAACCGCCCGGGCCGCGGCACGTTTGGCCTGCCGGTACTGGACAGCTGCCTCAGGAGTCCCACGAACCATCATTGCTCGATAGGACTCCTTCTTCAGCCTGACGGCATCCCTTACTGCCGGTGTCCACCACCGGGTTCGGGGATTGCCGCCGGGACCAGCACCAGAGACCTTGCGACCACAGCTACGAGCCGCTGCATTGGCGATAGAGGAAGAGAACATGGTCCACTCGGACTCGATGTCCCCCTCCTCTGCCGGGACCTGGGAGAAGCTCTCCCGGAGGTGTGAGTTGAAAATCCGTCTGACAGGGGGCTCAGCAAGACGTTCCCAGCAAACCCTCACTACACGCTTGGGCCTGCCAGGTCTGACCGGCCTCCTGCCCTGCCAGCGGATCCAACTCACGACCAGGTGATGATCGGTTGACAGCTCCGCCCCTCTCTTCACCCGAGTGTCCGAAACACGCGGTCGAAGGTCAGATGATACGACTACAAAGTCGATCATCGACCTCCGGCCTAGGGTGTCCTGGTGCCACGTGCACTGATGGACACCCTTGTGCTCGAACATGGTGTTCGTGATGGACAGGCCGTGACTGGCACAGAAGTCCAACAACTGAACACCGCTCTGGTTCAGATCAGGGGGGCCGCTCTTCCCGATCACCCCTCTCCAAGTGTCACTGGCATTTCCCACATGGGCGTTGAAGTCCCCCAGGAGAATAACGGAGTCCCCGGGCGGTGCACTGTCCAGTACCCCTCCCAAGGACTCCAAGAAGGCCGGGTACTCTGCACTACCGTTAGGCCCGTAGGCCGTCACAACAGTGAGAGACTTGTCCCCCACCCGGAGGCGGAGGGACGCGACCCTCTCATTCACCGGGAAGAACTCCAACACGTGGCGGCTGAGATGGGGGGCAATGAGTATGGCCACCCCAGCTCGCCGCCTCTCCCCGCGGGAAACACCAGAAAAGTGGAGCGTCCAACCCCTCTCAAGGAGTTGGGTTCCAGAGCCCAAGCTGTGTGTGGAGGTGAGGCCGACTATCTCTAGTCGGTATCGCTCAACCTCCCCCACAAGCTCGGGCTCCTTCCCCCCCAGTGAGGTGACGTTCCACGTCCCAAGAGCCAGATGTTGGGTGTGTGGACTGGGTCGTCGAGGTCTCCGCCTTCGACTGCTGCCCAGTCCTCTCTGCACCTCGCCACGACGGACCCCTCTGCAGGTGGTGGGCCCACAGGAGGGACTGCCCACGTCATCCCTTCGGGCTGAGCCCGGCCGGGCCCCGTGGGCTAAGGCCCGGCCACCAGGCGCTCGCTTGCGAGCCCCGACCCCAGGCCTGGCTCCAGGGTGGGGCCCCGGCTGCGCCATGCCGGGCGACGTCACGGTTCTCATTGTCGTGCTGTCCATGGTTGGCTTCGGACTGCGCTTCGTCTGACTCGTCACTTGAGACCTGTCTGCCATGGGAGACCCTACCAGGGGCATGAAGCCCCCGACAGCATAGCTCCCAGGATCATCCGAGTGCTCAAACTCCCCCACCACGTTAAGGTGGCAGTCCAAGGGGGGCATAGAAAATTCAAAAAGCATAATATGGGACATAAAAGGTCATGCAGTTCGACAACGAGTGAATGAGCAAAACCACTCACGCCAAACCACCCACCATGTTGTTAAAGAAACAGTAGACCAGTTAGCTATGTCTTTGTTGCACAAGTTTGGCCGAGTGGATTTTGTGAGAAAACCAGAGAATTCTCTGCAGCTGTTGGCCTGAGTGACTATGATAAAGTTGTAAACGTGGCTGGATCAGCGCAGTCTTCATTCCTCTTCCTTGCCTAAGCCCAAGTGTGCGGTCGTCCGTTCGTTGTGGCTTTTGCAGTTGTGTAATCGGCGGGTCAATCATGGCTTCATTAATCCATACATTTGCATCCATAATCCCTTAAAGAGCGAAGTTCAGTGGCCTCACACTCTCACACAAACACACACATAGCTACAAAGCCTCTCACACAGAGCCACACACGTAAAGCATTTCTTTGCATTATTCAGGCTTTAACAAAAAACATTAACTCTTTATGTGGACTGTAAAACTGAGTTTGTGTCTCTTATTGTCCTAAACTTTCTTTTGAAATCCATATTTTTTTTTAATAAATCCACACTTAAGTGCAACAAACTCTACTCGCTCTAGTCCCGCTCTGATCAGTGGTGCTCCCTCTCCGGACTCCCTCTCCGGACTCCCTCTCCGGACTCCCTCTCCGGACTCCCTCTCCGGACTCCCTCTCCGGACTCCCTCTCCGGACTCCCTCTCCGGACTCCCTCTCCGGACTCCCTCTCCGGACTCCCTCTCCGGACTCCCTCTCCGGACTCCCTCTCCGGACTCCCTCTCCGGACTCCCTCTCCGGACTCCCTCTCCGGTCTCCCAGACTGTTACAGCATCATAGTTCTGTCTTTTTTTTTTTTTGTAGTTGATAATTGCAGCGGGGATGGGGGTGTTAATGCAAAAGACTATTTACCATCTAAGGAAGTTTAAACTGATGAAAAAACAAGTCACAAACAAAAACAACATTCATCTTTATTCCGCCTTCAATAATATTTGATGTTCAGATAATTTCTTGAAAAATCAGAGGAAAACACCAACACATTTAGACAATTAGAGTCTTAAAGTCATAAAACTGCTTGAGCGTCCACATTAGCTCATGTGCTGTAATGACCTCCAACACCAGGAACTGCTTAAAAAGCGTGAGATTTTTAACTATTTCAACACTTTGTGAATTATGCCCCTGCCATAAACCATGTAAGGTGCCTACAACAGCTTGGAATGCACAAAATGATCTGGAAATGATTGAACTGTGGCCAGAATCCCAGATCAAAACCCTAATAGGAAACGACTTCAATAAGTTCACGTCGATCTGAGGTCTCGGTCCGGCGCCAGCTCTGCCAAACCTAAACAACCAGGGTAGTAGTAGTAGTAAGTAATTTCTAAACACGATCTTAGGAACATTTACATTGGCATTTTAGGTCTACGCCATTTGCTACACGTACAGTAGAAGAACATCGGCTGCTACTCGCCACAGAACTCATACACGTAAAGATGACTTGTATATTTGATAATACATGTCTTCAAAATCATTCTATTTGCTCCCGTTTGCACATACAAATTCCGATTTGCACAAAACTTGAATCCATGGTTCAACCCTAGGGTCAAGGTCATTTGAAAGTGAAATAATTGAACTTGGCTCATTAACGCCCCCTACAGACTATAACCCCACAGAGTCGCTCCCATCAGGGCTTTAGGAAGATAGTGTGTCACATGGTCATCCAATGGAGACTGTATATATATGGACACACTCACAGAGTGTATGTGGAAACAGGAGCACATGTCTGATTTGTACCCCGCAACACGCGCATGCGGGGGCGGGGAGTTGCACTTTGTGAGGAGGGCCGTTCGACGCCGTTTGCAGCTTTAATTTCTTTCTTTTTTCTTCTGCACTTTGAGCCTTAATTTGGCCCCCTGAACAAGCATGAAAAATCAGACCTGGCAAAAAATTTGATATTTTGGTGTTTATTTTTATGGGATTCAAAAAATGCCACAACAGCGCCACCTACAACAGCCAAAATAATACCCCTATGGGAGTTTTCGGAGGTCAAGTTTGTCGTAGAGCCATGAAATTTGGTACACATGTTCCTCAAGTCAAGACATGAAAAAAATATTATTATGGCCCCGCCCTCTGACAAACAGGAAGCCCATACATTTCACTGCAAAATGGAAAAATTAACAGCAAAAGTTTTCATACATGTCGGTTGGAAAGCGACTTCTCCTCGGCCGTTTCACCGATTGGCCTCAAAATCGCTCCACATCATCTCAATACATGAACCTTCAAAATGACTTTGGCATTTTTTGATCAGTGAAACGTTGTTTGAGCAGCGGAGCGGCAAAAAGTGGCATTTTTTTGGCCGTTTTTGACAATATTACATTTGCTCCCGTTTGCAAATAGTAAGTCTTATTCGCACAAAACTTTAATAAATTGTTCAACTCTAGGGTTTAAGTCAATTGAAAGTGAAATAAATGAACTTGGCTCATTAGGAGGGGTTGGAGGTCAAGTTTGCTGTATAGGCATGAAATTTCGTTCACATGTTCATCAACTCAAGACATGAAATAAAAGTTATTATGGCCCCGCCCCCTGACAAACAGGAAGCCCATAAATTTCACTTCAAAATGGAAAAATGAAAAATGATCCTTTTCACACGTGTCGGTTGGAAAGCGACGCCTCCTCTGCCATTTCACCGATTTGCCTCAAAATTGCTCCACATCGTCTAAACACATGTACCATAATATTTGATTTCACAGACTTTTGATCAGTGAAACGTTGTTTGAGCAGCGGAGCGCCAAAAAGTGGCGTATTTTTTTGGGTTTTTGACAATAGAAAAATTGCTTCCGTTTGCACAAGTCCGATTTGCACAAAACTTGAATCCATGGTTCAACTCTAGGGTTTAGGCCATTTGAAAGTATTTTTTTTTTAATTGGCTCATTAGCGCCACCTACAAAAGCCAATTTAAATACGCCTATGGGAGGGGTATGAGGTCAAAATTTTTGTAGAGCCATGAAATTTGTTACACATGTTCCACAGGTCAAGACATGAAAACAAAGTTATTATGGCCACGCCCCTTGACAAACAGGAAGCCCATAAATTTCATTGCAAAATGGAAAAATGAAAAGCAATCATTTTCATGCATGTCGGTTGGAAAGCGACTCCCCCTTCAACCGTTTCACCGATTGGCCTCAAAATCGCTCCACATCATCTCAACACATGTACCATCAAAATAATTTCAGGGAATTTTGATCAGTGAAACGTTGTTCGAGCAGTGGAGCGGCAAATTGTGAGGTTTTTTTGGTCTGATTTGCACAAAACTTGAATCCATTGTTGAACTCCAGGGTTTAGGTCAGGTGAAAGTGAAATATTTGAAATTGGCCCATTAACGCCCCTTACAGACTGAGGCAAAGTTTTACATGGGGAGCCAAACAGCTCTACTTATCATATTCATTACAATTTGACTAACATTCTTCTATGGCTACGGGAACAAATCATCACACGGCAGCACCACCTCCTTTTTGCGGTGCTGTGTGGTGCGGCTTAGGGCGGGGCGTTGCGGCTTAGGGCGGGGCGTTGCGGCTTGGTGCGGGGCGGCGTGGTGCAGAGGGGCTTGGTGTTAGCGGCTTGGTGCAAGCGGCCTGGTGCAAGCGGCCTGGTGCAAGCGGCCTGGTGCAAGCGGCCTGGTGCAAGCGGCCTGGTGCAAGCGGCCTGGTGCAAGCGGCCTGGTGCGGGGCAGCTTGGTGCGGGGCGGCTTGGTGCAGGGCGGCTTGGTGCAGGGCGGCTTGGTGCAGGGCGGCTTGGTGCAGGGCGGCGTGGCGCGGGGCAACGTGGCGCGGGGCAACGTGGCGCGGGGCGGCGCGGCGCGGTGCGGGGAGTTGCGCGGCGCTGCGAGGGCCGTTTGACGCTGCTTGCGGCTTTAATTATTATTTTAATTTTTATTACCATTTTTAAGATAAACTTCAAATTTGGTTATCTATCCATTTAATTTATTGCCGTTTATATTATTATTATTACTTGTGGGTTCGAGCCCACCGTAAGACCTACTTTACGACTCCCACTGATGTCTGCTGTCATTGTGTCTTTGGGCAAGACACTTAACCCCACTTTACCTGAAGCCCCCACTGAAAGATCTCAGCTCCTGTGGACTCATCACCTGCAAGAGGATCAGTGAGGGGCTGGTGCTATGTGTACTGGGTGCAACTCTGACTGCAACTCCCCCCTCAACCCAGAAATGGATTAAGGGGAAGAAAATGGATGGATGGATGGATGTTACATTTATAATTAATTTGTATTTTTCAAATGTAATATATTTGAGCAATAAAGTACTTTGTATTTTATCTTCTGTTCTTCTGCTCCCCTTAAGATTTGATGGTCTTTTCTTTTTAAAAAGTTAAGTAATATTGGGCAAGTAATTTGTATTGTCTGCTGTTTTTGCTGGTTTAATTCTTAGTATTTATAACGTGTTATACAAATAAACATGCCACAGATCTCACCATAATGACGGTTTTGGCTGAGCGGTGGTTGTGGCGCAGACTGTGCAGAGCCAGAAACCCCAGGGAGCCGTAGAAAAGCAGCGTGGCCAGGTTCCGCGTGTCGAGGAGGGACTCCACCAGGGGGATGGTGCCCATGGTCCAGTCACAGCAGAGGGCAGAGGGGAAGAGCAGCAGCCACGCATTCACCGGGAGAAGGTAGTTAAAGGTGAGCTGGCGGGAGGGCGAGGGGCTGACGGCAGCCGGGTTATCAAACCTGAGGAGAGAAAACACCACTGAGACAGGACACAGAGGCAGGGAGAGCACAGAGGCAGAGACAGAGAGAGCACCACTGAGACTTCAGAGAGAAAACAGCTACAGTTTAATGACACTCAAAGACACAACATTAATCACACGCTGCTGGAAAAAAGAGAAGTAAGTGAGTAATCTTTATTAAAATACCTGCAGACAGGGTGACGACATGTGGGACGCCGAACACTCACATTTTATTTATTTATTTATTTACTTGACAGAGACAGTCCAAAAAACATTGTCACCCACAGGTAACCGATGTAAAGTACAAAGGGCTTGACATCGAGGACATGGAAGTCTCCAACCGTCACCATCATCATCTCATTACAGTCAGATCTATTGTGCATATTTTTAGTAGAAGGGGAAACTGGAGCACAGACACAGAGACATGCAGGCCAACTCCAGAAAGAGCCGCTGTTCCGTGAATAATTGATTATTGAAATAATTGTTAACTAATATTGATTGTGTCAGTGTTCTCTCATTTAACCTGTATTTCAATTCAATACACACCAGGCTTTTCTATTCATTCACTCTTTACACACTGTTCGGGCTATGGTGGAAACTTGCCAGTAGCTCTGTCCGGTCTTTAGAATACATTAATTGTGCAATGTCCCTGTCAACTATATTAAAACATAAATACATCAACCTTCTCCATCCTAACTTTCCATTAGGCACACAGCCACTACATCCTCACAGCCGTGTATTACCACATTGATGAGTGAGTAGAGGTTCATTCAAAGTTTATTGGATGTGATTTTTACTCAAAATATCATAAAAATATAAATTTTTCCACAAGACAGAAGCGTCCAGTTTCCAGCTGTGCTCATATAAAGACCATACAACAAAAAGGTTTCCTCACAATCAATTATATTGTTTTTTGAACGGCTCTCTTTAAACTTAACAATCTCCCTCTCCTCAGGGTGCCAGCGTACAGTATATGGCAGTTCATGCTTTAATGTCGGCAACATGCCCTTTCCAACTAAACAACTCAGACCGAGAGAAGGACCCAAAACTGAAGTTGATCTACGATTAGTTTCACACGTTTGGAATGTTTGGAGCAACAGGCCGGACAAACACAGAGCCATCGAAAGCATAAACCTGAGAGATTTTAATGTGGCTGCGATCACAGGGACCAGTTAAAGTGGGCCTAGGCCCAGAACGTGTTTATATCTGGGCTTTAGGTGCCGTGTGACTGCAGCAACTTTGCTAGAGCATGGTAGTACAGCCCAGATGAGGGGGTTCGATGTGATAGGGAGTGGGGGATATGTGGTGGGGGGGGGAGGGTAGGGGTGTTGGGGACGTGATATTGTGCGTCAAATTGCGTCTTCCTGCTGCGCCGTAAATTTTCGCACGTCTCCTGAGCTCAACCTGAGCAAGAGCCCACCAGACTCCACACATTTTCTCAGGTGAGTCCAGTTTTACCAAAGTATAAGAAACAGTTGTAGTTTGAACATAGTTTTTTTGTATGTGATGATAGTTTCGCGACATGTGATTTTCCAGTGGACGCAAAAATAATCATATTCTTTCCAGGGAACTTAAATCTGATCCGATGATTACACAACAATCTCCTAACACACAGTCTACTGAACGCCCCTATAGATAACCAAGATAAGATCATAGACATCCTGACTTACTTAACCTGGAATTACACAAATAGCCAAAACATCCTCCAAATCCCCACATAGCAACATCACAGCTCAAACACAATCACTCATTCGCAGAAGTCTGAAATCTAAAAATCCAAGCTCAATTCTACATTATTCTGCAGTTCTACATAATAGAACTACAATAGAACTACTTTAGAACTACTTTCTTTTGAATACGCTGGAAAACGGCAGCAGGTCCTAAGTAGCTCTGAAACAGTTGTTGTTTTGTGCTTTATACATTTTATTTTTCTTGCTTTTTTCTACCTAAGATGTTGCTGCAGTACAGTGTTCATGCTTCATCTGCACCTGTAGACTGTCATCCCCGACCCGGACTCTTGGGTCACACACCCTCCCATCCTCGGAACCAACTAAGTACTGCATTGCGTGGCCTCGGTCCTAGTTCTACAGCATGAGTTTGTAGCTTATTCGTTCATGTGAAGGAATACCTCTCGCACTTTATTCCTACCACTGTTCTTTTTTTAGTTGTTCTTTACTGATGCAAGAGGGTCTTTGGCAGGGGTGTAAAACTGGTCATAAAAGGGCCAGTGTGACTGCAGAGATAGAGCCTGAAGTGCTCTGGCTCTGGTTGGTAGTAAAAACTGCAGCCACATCGGCCCTTTTCTGGAATTTGTTTGACACCCCTGGTCTAAGACAGTGGTGATGATCCAGGACATCCCACGATATGTATGAACGTCATAAACATTGAAAGACATTAGTCATCTGCCTCTTATGGACCAACTGCTCTGTGTTTTTTGTGATTGCACATTTTGTAATTTAACTGTTTAATTCTGTGCTGGCAAATCAACCACTTTGTAAAGTCCTCCTGTATAATCACTGTTGTGATTTAAGACTATACAAAAATATATATGATTTAAATGAAGTGCCTAAAATTGAAGCAAAGTTACTCACATATTTAAATACTTGTACATTTGATTCATTGTATATTTGTGTATTTTAAATGCGTGCATTAATGTCCTAAAAGCCTGCTATGGACAAGTGTAGAAAATTAGCATGGTCTTGCTATAATACTAAAGGCAGTGCATCTGGTCTGTCCAATGTAACTGTTGTGTCCATATCAAATAAACAAATAAATAGCAAATAATATCTGAAGAGGGGTTCCTGGGAGCTGCAGCTGACAGAGGTCCTTGTAGCTCTGAAAGATGCGTCACATGCAGAGGACAGAATTCCCTACAGGGGACAATAATAATCTTTGTCGGTCAGGCTGAAGGACTTTGTATTGTTTTTATGTAAAGGACCATTCTCACAGTAGTTGTGATGCAGCTCAAAGAATAAGAAGCAGTTATAGTTTGAATATAGTTTGTTTGTGTGAGATGACTGTTCTGCGAAAACACACAGAGATACATGATTGCAATGCCTGTAACCGTCCACATAATTATATTCTTACCAGGATTTTTAGATCTGATGTCCCATGATTACACAACACACAGTCCACCTATAGATAACAAAGATAAGATCATAGGCATCCTGACTTACTTAACCTGGAATTGTACAAATAGCCAAAACATCCTCCAAATCCCCACATTGTGTTTGAACTGTGATGTTACAATCACTCATTCGCAAAAGTCTGAGAATCTGAAACTCCAAGCTCAATTCTACATAGTTCTGCAGTTCTACATAATAGAACAACAATACCCAGAATGTGTTAGTCCAGTGATCATACTGTGAAGTTTTTGATGGATTGAGCTTGTAGCTCTATTACGGAGAACTGGAATACCAAGAAGGCCATAGTCCCGAGTCATCCTGTCCTCCGAGGGACAGGAACCCATGTAAATCTTCACTGATTCTGAGTCAAAATACTTATTTTTCGGACGTGTGCAGTTGTAGCAGTTGTTCAAGTGGGGAACTAATGGGGTCTCCATTTTGGTATAATATATTTTGCTAACAGGTGTCATTTTTTGGGAAAATATCATAAAGGAACGGAAGAAAATCATTAGCCTACCTCATATTTCTGGCCTCAAATGTTGTTTAAAGTCCTATTTGCGTCATATTTATGGTATTATTGATCAGAAGTTTTATCTTTGATGTGGCTTTTGTTGATCCCAGCGTGACGAGCTCCACTGTCGCCACAAATACAGCCACTTAATCCTCCTCATTATTGAAAATATTGAACTCATTTAAACTACACAAGGCGTACGTTGTGTACTCTCTCTCTCTCTCTCTCAAACACCCCTATAGATAACCCAGATAAGACTATAAACATCCTGACTCACTTAAACCAGACTTATACAATTAGCCAAAACAAACTCCAAATCCCCTTATTGTAACATCACAGCCCAAACATTGTCGTTCACTTGCACAAGTCTTAGAATCTGAAAATCCAAACATGAGGATCTCGGCTTAAGGGAGTGTTGTGTCGTCCGCTGCAGACAATCCGGAGCGGTCTGTGGATTAGCAGTAGATTAGTTTATCCAGGCTGGGGTTAGGGTTAGGGTTACAGTCTGGTATTTCATCATAACGTTGATTGTGCTTTTTGATAAATCACAAACTATAATCCAGTGTGTGAAGATTGTGGAGAACTAGATTAACTCATTGAATGCCAGCCTATTTCAGAACAGGTACTCCCACAGTGCCAGCCATTTCTGATGATTTTTACTGATTTTTCAAGACCCACAGAATATTGTGTACTATGACTATACTGAAATCCGACACCAGATTCTAAAAGAATGGACTGTCTACTTTCCTCAGCAAAAAGAATTTTGTTTATAGCTTTTTTTGTTCCCCTGTAATCCTCCGTCGAGTAGAGGGAAGTTTTACTGAAATCACCAGAAATCACCAGAAAGTTGAGAAAAAAGAGGCACAACATGTGCACCTAACTGTTTTCAAACCATTCAGAGAGCAATGCTGCCACCTGCTGGCTCGATAAAATATGGTCTCAAGTCATCCCCATACATATTAGATACAATAGACATCTGGGAACGTGAAAATAGCGAAAAAGGCAATTGACGTATTAATGCGACGTTACTATTTGCTTTGACGTATTTGTGCGTCAATGGGACACAATGAGTTAAACTCCAAAAATGAGGATATGATATAGACCTATTACACACAAAATCTCTCTTCGCACAGGCTAGTATTACCTGTGGACATTTGGTGATTTGTGAAAATTGAGTTGGATGCCAGAGATCTTAGTCCCGTGTGAATATGCCATGGCTATAAAATTTCGATGCAATTCTGCCAGGATGTTGGCCTGGATGACATGTTTGGCAGCATTTGGTAAGAAACAATTATAAATATCATTACAAAGCTATAACTAATAGCAAGTCTTGGAAAGCAGATCTATAACAAACTAGCTGGGGTA